AACAAAAGAACCCACCTCGGTAGCCCATTGGCTCTGACATAACAATACTTCGGTAATTGAATCTCACTTTGGTTCCCCACTAGCACCAACATAATTGAATCCCACCTTGGTCGCCTATTGGTACCCACAAAATAGAATACCACCTAAGTCGCTCACTAATGCCGACATAATAGAAAAACACCTCGGTCGCTCACTTCTACCAACATCACATCACATCACAACACATTTCTTTCACATTTTTTATGTATTTCATTAATTAATGCCTTATTGGATTGAATTAAAAAAAAAAATCAAAATGTCATAGTGGAAGATAATAAAAATACCGTCGAGCAAAAACTCACAATCTCCAAACATAACAAAATTAACAGAGATTGTGTAAAACATTATACTGAAGCTTTAAATGAATTGAAACACTATTTTTAAATGTCAAAATAAATTTTTGAGTTGATCAAAATTGCTGCTTTTTCAAAATTACTCGATAAAAATTTTGTTGAGTATACTCAAAATCACTCTATAACATATAAAAGTTATATAGTAAAAGTTCTACCAAAATAAAACTATTCTTATTTTTCAGAAAAGAAAAAATAAATTTGATAAAAAAATATCAAAATATCAAATTATTGAAAATTGAAAAATACAAAATGTAATCTCTTCGAGACTAGCAAATTTCTTAACTAGGTCGACGGATAAATGTTGCTCTATGATTGTCAAAACCAAACTTTCTTCCTTCTCTCTCCTCTATTTTCTCTAAATTCCCCCCAAACATTTATTTAGTTTGGGAAAATGCATGAAATGAGCTTAATGCCTTTTTAATAATATTGATAGTTGAACCAGATTTCTCTTTTAAAATTAATAACATAATAATAAAATTTAAAAAGAAATAGTATAAAATTCATAAAAATTCTTTTAGGTATTCTAATAATTATAAAAAAATATATCTGTAAAATAGCACATTTATTTAGAAAGATTTGGAAAATTTGATTTTTAAAATAGATACCTAACGATCGCAAAACCCCACTTATGAAGTTAGATGCCAATTTCTTAAGGAATTTCACTGGTGCCAAAAAATTATAAAAAAAATGTTGGAACTAAAACACAATAATAGAGATGTTTCAGTGAAGGCTGTTTATGATTTAGACTTATAATGAGTCGATAATAAGTTCTTGACAGTTGCATGTAAATTTTTTTTTTTTTTTAGTTTTAGTTATGACAATACTGGACAAAATGATTTTTTGAACTAATCGTACTGTACAATCTTCGATCGTACTGTACAATCCTGATCATTCTATTTGAATATTTTTGGCTGAATTAAAATTTTAGAATTTTTTTAATCCTTATGTAAAACATTTTCTATTAGACTTTTGAAAAGTCTTTTAGCATTTGAAGGAATTATGTGAGAGAACATTAGGAGGTCTAAGAGCCCCTAGAAGGTGAAGGAAAATTTGTGTGAGAGGGAGAAATAGTATTAGGGGGTTCACACGGTTGCTCCAAATGAGTTTCTGCCTTGATTCTTCTAACTTTGTTTGTTGGTCTCATGGGTAGAAAGGCTTCAAAGCTAAAGATTGAGGTTCTCTACCTTCACTAGGAGGTGAAAAAGCTTTTAGAGGTTTGTTGCCTTCACTAGGAAGGTGAAAAAGCTTTTAGGTTCGTTGCTTTCACTAGGAGGGTGGAAAGCTTCCGGGTATCCTGCCTTTACCAGAAGGGTGACAAAACTTCCGGTATTCTGTCGCACCGGGTTTGTGGAAGAGATTGTGTAAGAGCATCTTTGCCTTGATGTGGAAGCTAAAGAAGAGACACTAAAAATTTTAGTACAATACCCGAAGAGGACTCTTGGGAGTGGACGTAGGTCAAGTTTTGACCAAACTACTATAAAATATGGTGTTCTCATTCAACTTTACTTTTCATATTTTTATTTTTCCTACATTTTAATTTATTGCACATTTATTATTGATGCAAATATGTGATTGGATCATCAAGTTTTATTTGTTTTGATTATTTTTGGAAAAGAAAAGAAAATAAAATAAAAAAATATTTTATCTTTTATTTTTGTTATGAAAATCAAAGGAGCAAAATTACATTATTTTTATGAAATTCTTCCGCTTGCGTTTATGATTGATTTAAATAATAATAAAAATTTCATGGAGAAAATTTATAAAATAAACAATTCAACCCCCCTCTCTTAGTGTGCCTAAGACAGTTCAATATGGTTTAACCACCTCACTTGAACTTTCAATGAAGCCCATTTTGTTGACCAAAATTTTTATATGTTTTGATAGTGGTTCAAGTTCATATTTTGGTGACCTTTATGTCATTGGAATCATCTTTATGACAACATTAGTTTTCACTGTATGAATACAAAATTGAGAGGTTAATCAGTGCTTTTATTTTATTTTTTTTGTAGTTTTGTTATTGAGTGTTTAACATTTGAAATTTATGTTCAATTTTTTGCAGGCCAATAAAATTTTAGCCTCTTAAGAACTCATTGCATAAGGTAAACTTTTGAATAAAGTGCTGCTCGACCCTTTTATCTTCTTAGCACATTCTCTATCAATAATGATCTCTAAACATAGATGATTCATCTATGATAAAGTTTCATTACCACGTTCTCTACTTTTCAGTCATCATTTGTTAAAGCTAAATGATGTTATATGTTTGATTATTTAGGTTTGAATATTCCACTCATACCATAAATCCTAAATCTAGAATATCATTCACTACAGGGAAAAAGTGTTTTACCAGCGAAATTTCGGACGAAAATTTTCTGCCAAAATTTTCGGCGGAATTCTCGACAAATCTCCATTGGAAAATTTTTGCCGAAATTTCTAGCGGACTTTATGAGAAATTTTCTAATGGAAATTTTCCATCTGGGTTTCCGACAAATTTTCCAACAAAAATTTTGCAAGAAATTTCCAGCGTATTAAATGATGGAAATTTTCCGTGGAGATTTTGCACGAAAAGTTTCCAGCAGATTTTGCACGTTTCTCGGCGGATATGGCCGTCATTAATGAGTGTTTTCCTCTAGTTATTATACATATTATCAACTACATAAAAATGTTAGAACCTTATTTAAACAAGGTTTAAACAATGTTTGAATAAGTTTCAAGCATTATGTGCATACGGTTCAAACATAGTTCATGCAATACTCAAACTAGGTTTTACCCAAAATTGGATAGTGTTTGAAAAAGATTTAAATAAGTTTCAATGCGATTATAATAAGGTTCAACAATGGTCCAATCAAGATTTGTACAACATTCGAATATAGTTCACACAATGTTTGAGTAATGTTTGAACTAGGGGTGTCAATATTTGACACGACACGACAACCTGACCCGGCCCCGACCCGGAAAATCCGGGCCGGGTCGCTGGTCGGGTCGGGTCAACCCGGCAACCCGGCCGGGTCGGGTCTGGGTTGAAATGTCCGACCCGTTTTTACAAACGGTTCGGGTTCGGGTTGACCCGTTTAGATACGGGTCGGGTCGGGTTCGACCCGAACCCGGCGGGTTGACCCGAATTGACACCCCTAATTTGAACGAGGTTCAAGCATGATTTGCAAGTAACGGTTTGATAATAGTTTAATCTTGGTTTAAATATTAAACCATGGTTCAAGCATCATTCAGATAACTCTTACACTTTATAATAGATCTTAATAGCAAAATTGAGTTCATTTTGCAAGTGCTTTCCTAAATTGCTTGAGATATTATGATTATTTGACAATATGTATAAACTTCTGTCATCTAAAGCTCTTCGGAAGTGGATTGAGATTTAACAAGGATGAAGATCCTAAGTTTGCCGTAAGATTAGCCATAAAAAATTTTAATAAAAAATTATGCAAGTATTATGATATATAGTTTAAAGAGCCCACTCTTTTGCATTTTTAGTAAAGATTTTAGTGTATTGGATACAACATATAATCTACATAATTGCAAAAAAAAGCCCTAAACAATTTATACTTGGTTTGTTGACTTTGTGGAATTAGTAGACTTATTTTATTTAGAAGTTATTGAATTATTTTATAAATATCATTATTTCTATGTATTGTATGGCGCTCTAGTGTAAACATCTTAGATTAATCATTTTTATTCAAACATGTTGTATTATAGTTGTTGGATTGAGTTATGATGCTATTGGATTGAACTACGTTGTGTTATAATTTTTAGATTGCTCTTTGCCATGTTATCGCTTGTGTGTTATCGGCGTTCAATTGCACTTAATATGCTATAGCTATTGAATTACACTTTGTCATATATCAATCTTCTAATTTGTTACGTTATAGCATTGTACAAACATTGTTCAAACCTAGATTGCACCTTATTCGAACCACGTCGGATGTTGTTCAAATATTATATGAACATTATTCAAGTCCAATTTAAATCTTATTTGTACAAAGTTCGAATCATATTCGAATAATCTTCGAACTCTATTCAAATCAATTTAATTCACTTTAGTGTTCAAATGAGTAGTTCGTGATAAAAAGTATGGGCATTTTGAACTTTCAGATATATTGCTCTCGAAAATTAGTATATATTTTTGATCAATTTCATAAAATCAGGCTTCTTTTTTATTAATTTGCATATTTATTATTCTTAAAAAAATAAAGAATTAAAGTTTAGAATTTTTACATAACATCTAAAACTATTGAAAATACATATTTAACACCTAATTTTCTATATTTACTAATATACCACATAAAACCTCTATTTTAATCAATTCTAACATTTTATTTAAACCTTCCCTAAAAAATCACTATCAAGCTATCAGTAACTATCTTCCCCATCAATGGCATCCTTTTACAGTGAAGACAAGTATCTCATTGCTTCAATGAAGTGGTAGAATAGAAGAAAAGTGAAATTTTAAGTAGTATATTAGTAAATATAAAAGTTTAGATGCTAAATATATATTTTTAATAATTTTAAATGTTATGTACGTAAAAATCCCTTAAAATTTTTCGTTTAAAACTCGAGCACTCGTGCACCCTTAAAACATCTACCAGGCGGCAAAAGAGTCGGCTTGCCGATCAGAGATATCGAAGTCACAGAACCCTAGCAAATCTTCTTGAGACGATTTTCCTTGTAACTTATCTCAAATTGCTCTGTTAAATTGCCGGAGATCAAAGTAGAAAACGATTAGGGATGGCGGATTTCCAAACATCCACACATCGGGCGAAATGGATTTTCACGCCAAGGGATCTGGTAATCCAGTTATACATTAAGACTCATGAAAATACGTTGCCATGAGAAAAAAAAAAAAAGATAGTTTTCCTCGATCCCTTTTATCAGAGCTCGTATGTCATCACAAAGCCATGAGCTTGCTGCAGCTGCGGATGGCTCGTAAGACTAGCTTCTCGCATGTCCCGCCGGTTTGGATTAAACAATAGGGAATAGCGAGTTGCTGCTTAGAAATTCTCCCTCTTATAGTATATTTGCTTAGAGATTCCACTTGCTTTTTGCAATGCGATGCAACTTTGGGCCTTGAACTTTTCACTTATTACTTTCTTTGTCTTTTTTTTGTTTTCAATTACTGCAGTTTGAAAAGCGAGAAGCTGCGAATTGGAGAGCAAGAAAGATGCTTGAACAAGTACGCAGCAAGACGACTATTTCGTTTATGATTAACAGGCTTCTTTGGACAATGTCAGCATATTTTTATATATAATTTGCAGTATGGGTCGACCAGATTAGAGGTAGATGTTGATGGCTCTATTTCATATCCCGAACCTTTGCAAGATCCAAAAGATAGCGGTTGTTGTTCATCATCTCAACCAAGTCCCAATAATTTCCTGTGTCTTATCTTATGTGATCAAAATAATTTATTGTCTCGCTGTTTGTTGAATATCATTGATCATCCACGTTTATTTTTGGTCTTCATGCAGCTGCAAAGCCTCTTAATTGTGAAGAAGAGCAGCTTATGCGGGTTTTCTATGAACAAAAAATTCAAGAAGTCTGTGGTGCATTTAAGTTCCCCCATAAAATTCAAGTAATTGCTTTTAGGTTACTTGGTATTTCGTTGGTGTTTCAGAATCAGCACTTCTTAAATTAATTTCCTCTACCTGATATAGGGAACAGCCATCATATACTTCAAGAGGTTTTATTTGCAGTGGTCTGTGATGGAACATCACCCAAAACACATAATGTAAGACTGACTTTATTTTTCTTAGCTGTCTAGTTTATTAAATTTTTGTACTTTACATCTATAACTTACATATATGAGCTTTATTACCTCTTCCTACCTATAGTTTCAGTTCTATGTTAGCATTTTGAATTTTATTTGATTCAAGAGGCTCTCTGCTTATGCAGGCTAACTTGTATATATGCATCATGCAAGATTGAAGAAAACCACGTATCTGCAGAGGAACTTGGTAAGGGAATTCAGCAGGACCATCAAGTTATTCTCAATAATGAAATGGTTGTTCTTCAGGTGCTTGAATTTGTAGTTCTATAATTATAGCCCATTTTATATTTTTTGATCTTTTCTGAGAATGCTATGTTTTGATATTGCCAGAGTTTGGGGTTTGATCTTATTGTTTATGCTCCGTATCGCTCAATTGAAGGCTTCATTGAGGACATAGAGGTGTTGAAACTTCTTTTTATTTCTATACTTTCTAGGTTCTTTAGGCTAGCTTATTATATGCTGTTGTAGCATGTCCATGTTTGTTTCTTTGCTAATATTTGATGTAAAACTCTCTGCAAAAGTATCAAGTTGCTTTAATTGTTTTTTTTATTTGCTATTTTATTCTGTCTTTTTTTTTTACTTATGGTCTATACTAAGTAGTAGTATTCTTTGGTTATGTAGGAATTTGTTCAAGCAAGGGATGCTGTAAAAATAAAGTTAAAGGTAAGTTATTTATTTATTTTTTGTGCTATGCTAGATCACAAACCTGGTTCCAACCACATCTCTTACCTGTAATTTATAGTGGAAACTCATCTACATTGCATCTTGTAACCTATGTACATTTAATGAAGTTAAGAAGTAGGATTGAACTTTTCTTTCATCAAATATATTATTTTTGTTCAGAAAATGATTTATTTTGATATTTCATAGTGTTTTGATTCAATTATAGCTTATACTTTCTCCAAATAGCATCATTGAACTTGATCCTAAAAAATAGTGAACATATTTTTACATAAAATTAGCTTTATACTTAAAATTATTGAGAATAATATACTGGCCCTTGTGCACGCCCGTGATAACTCGTAGAGATGTGAACAAGCCGAGCTCGAGCGAGATCATTGTTTTTTGGGGTTGAGCTCATTTGAATTTTTTTTTCATTCAAGTTTGGCTTGTGTTCAAATTGTTTGTGAATAGCATGTTCATGTACAATTTATTTTGAAGTCATTTGTTTGTGTGAAGCTTGTGTTCGACTCAAATTTGTTAAAAAATATGATAGTTTAACTTTTCTTATGTAAGTCATAAAAAAACAAAATAAATATAAAAGATCAAAAAAATTTATTGTTGAAATTTTATTATTATAATAACCAATTAAGCTGAAAATTTAACAACCAGCAATTCAATATTTTTCATTACAAATTACAATTTATGTATAATATTTCGATCGAATAGCCTCTATTCATGTTCAGCTCATTTACAATTCATACTCAAAATGTTTATTAATGTTTGGCTCTCTTAGGTAACGAACGAGTGAAACATGATCTATTCATGAACAACACACCTTTTGGACAACCATAAAAAGTACATGAGTTTAGCGTTATGTTAATAAATCAAGATTTGCACTAAATCAAAGTTTGACTAATCTCAAGTGTAGAATTAATACATACAAATTTTGATGACATTTATGTTAAATATGTGAGAGTGAAGTGTATAGCAAATAAAGTGTTAAAATAGATCTGTGTGAAATCAATTTTCCCTGAGAGTGTAGCAATCCTGACAAGTGTAGAATGGAAGTAATGTGAATGGAAAGAGCAAATAGTGTATGGGTAAAAAGGGTAGAACAAGCCAAGAGGACATAAGGATTAATTGTTTTGTTTTTCAATCAAGCATACGACCAATCCTTAAGTTGCTCAGTTGAGATTCTTCTGCATCTTCTTGGCATCTTCACAAGTGTAACACAAAATCCTCACAATCTATTTTTTAGGCGCATAGAGTAATCTCAAAATCTCTATCATGTGATCAAGAAAAACTGTCAGACTTTTTACTTTTCAAGGGCGAATAAATAAAATTTTTACACTCTTCAAAGATGAGGATGAATGTTTAGGAGAAAATGCTAGGCCAACTAGCAACGCAAATACAACTCAAATATAGAAAAAATATCCAATAAGGAGCACCATACATAGTGAGTTACTAAACTTAAAACTTCTATAGAGAAAATTGAGTATACATGATTTCATGTTAAACTTTGATCTAAGAACAAAAACAATTTAGCACACAGGATAATGAGCTCCTGGAGCTTAAGAAAATTTTCTATTGATACATGATATTAACACAAGCAATGTAAGTCCTCATATAAAAATTGTGGAATTTTACTTGCAAGTGAAAATGTTGCTTAAATGAGAAATAATTTTACGTTAAATGTTGTGGACTCTTTGGGCTTAAGATTAATTTTTTTGAAGATATGAAAATTAGACACAAGGAACTTAAGCTTAGATAATGCCAAGAAAATGTATATACAAGAAAGAATGAGGTTTTTAGGTGAAAGAAAATTCTTTTTCCTCCCTAAATTGATGAGTTTTTAAAGCCCAAGAAGACATTAAAATGATTTGCTAGCGATAGCTATAGAGAGTTTGAAGCAAGTGAGGACTTGACATACTTGTCAATGGTGCATGCCATGGCGATGCTACGGCGCCAGCTGCATGGTGCGGCGTACATGTTCAAGTTGGCGCGCACCATTTGTGCCATAGCGCGTGCAATGGCGCATGGCGCACGACATGCGCAATTTGAATTTTAGGGATGTTTTAATATAATTATAACTAGTTTTTAATATTTATATATTTTTATTTCTAAAATAATGTAATAATTAATTTTAAAATCATTTGATATGATTAAAATAATTTAGTTTGGTTTTATTAGACTTTATTTTAGTAGATATTTTGGATGAACTTGAAGCTCGCTTTAATGGTTTGGACTTTGGACCACAAACATATTCAACCAAGCCTTTCCCAACTTGATTGATACTCTAAAATAGGATCCATATAAAAAATTTTATAATTCTTTTTTTATTTTAAATTGTATTCAAAAGGGCGCGCGCCTTGTCGTGCGCTGTGCGCCATGGCTTCACGGGAAATTTTGCGCCGTGCTTTGCCATTCGCCATTGACAAGCATGGAACCTGCATATAAAAGCTTATGGTTTTCTTGATGGTCAAAAGTTTTTTGAGCCAACTCTTGGGTGGTTTTAATAGGGAAAACAAGAGAAACAAACAAAAGAGAGGGAAAAAGCTAAAATTGTATGCAGGAAGATCCATGGGTGATTAATCAAAGGGTTGCTTTTACTTTTAGTTTTCACATGTAGATATTGAGTAGATGACAAACTAAATCCTAGAATCCATGTTCCTATGGGATTAGAGACTATAAGTACATAAAGACCCTTAATACATGGAAAACAAATATAACTTTTAGATGTAGTTTAAAGTCTAAGGAAGTTTTCTAATAAGATCAAAGGGATAGAGGTATCTATGGTGTGATTTGATCATGTCAAAATCTTAATAAAGAAAACGAAGGACCTTAACAACAACAACCATTTTTTGGATTCCTATTCTATTAGGATTGATCATATTCGATTAGTCAGGTTTGAAATAAACTTGACCCCAATACTATTAAGTCTACCAAAGAGGGTCAACCAAGTTCAAAATGAATTAGCTCAAGTTCAAAGTGAAAATTGTCTTCTCTATATACTTGACACCATAAAAAAGCTTTGGAGTTCCAAACTTCTAAATCTATAAAATGTGATTCTAAGTTAGTTTAAATTACTTTAACTCAATAACTTAACTTCAATGAAAAATCAAGTTTGTTGATCCTACCATGCTCACTTAATTATGTTTAAGAGAGAATGTAAACCTTGAAGTTCTTTATTCATTCTTAGGCACTGTGAATTTCCATTTTAACCTTTATTCTATATATTTCATTTTATGTACTTCATCAATAAGCCTTTATTGACTGGCCATAAACACTTTATTGTATATTGAACCTATGTTTGTGCACTTGGAATAGAGATTAGTTTAACGATTATGGAAATCAATGAATACAACAATTAAACCTTTGTGAGATGTCCTATGGCATTTGACAGACTTTTATCTCTTCGTAATATTGAACATAATGAAGCTTGGATGCATAGAACAATCTTTGTTATCTTGTATTTACTCAAATTTTGGGATAGCCAATCCTTGTTTATTATCGAGAGATTAAGCTGTTTAAGAAAATGTAATGGATTAGGTCCGAATTTAACTAGATACACTATTGTCATTGCTCTATTTTCATAAGAAATGCATGCTTTCATCATAAAAACCAACAAATCACTCTTATGACACCATGTCTACTTGTAGCTGTCCTAAGCAACCCCTATGATATTTGCTCACAATTTCCTCCATGTTCTCTAATGCTTAGATAAACTCATATCCCTCACAAACAAGCGTGCACCCCCTACTCCACTAGCTCACTCTTGCTCCGTAAACTCCAGGGACAGGGTATCCCTCAGGAAGACCATTTGCTTTCAGTACTATCTCTCTCCCACATTAACTTGCCATTTCTTTCTCTTTCCTATTCTTTCCACAATCTCCCACACTATTGCACTTTATTCCGCACTCTTCTATCATTTCTAGCTCCCATCTCCCTGACACTATCTATCCCTCACCTTTTCCACGCTCAATCTTCCCTACTACAATGTGTCCTATTTGGTAGTGCCTTTTATGCTCTGTATGTCCCTCTTTTGTCTTGCTTTCCTTCTCTCCATCTATCTTATCCTAGCGATGTCGCCTCGTGTGCAACTCACCTCTACCACACCATCTCTTATGATTGATCTTCCATTAAGCCCTCTCACCCTAGATGCATCACTAGCCAATATTTCCTTTGTGCAATGTTTGGGCTTATTTTTTTACATGAATCAACCCTCACAAACCAATGCACAAAAAATATTACTGCTCAATCTTACCATTCAACCTTGATGTTTAACTACATCAACTCTACGGGCCACCCCTTTGAATTCTTTATGCTATTTCATGATAGTTAATCTCCCCTTGCACACAATGTACAAAAACAACATCAAGCCTTTGTCCCACTAAGTGGGGTTGGCTACATGAATCCTTTTTCATCATTGTGTCCTGTTAAAAGTCAAATTCCCATTTAAATCTAATAAAGAAAGATCATTTCTAATATTTTCTAACCAAGTCTTTTTAGGTCTACCTCTACCTTTCTTAACATAAGTCAAATCTAATACCGCAACTTTCCTAATCGGGTCATCAGAAGGCCTTCGTTTAATGTGACCAAACCATCTAAGACGACTCTCTCTAATCTTATCTTCCACTGGAGCTACTCCAACCTTTTCATGTATATGCTCATTTCGTATCCTATCTCTAAGGGTCAAGCCACTCATCCACCTAAGCATCCTCATCTCTGCAACACTTAACTTAGTATTATGCTTCTCTTTTAATGGACAACATTCGGCACCATAAAGCATTGCAGGTCTCACCACCATCTTATAGAATTTTCCCTTAAGTTTGTGGGGGACTTTTCTATCGCACAATAAGCCCGATGCATTCCTCCACTTCAACCATCCAACTTGAATTCTGCTGATAATATCCCTATCAATTTCCCTAGCACACAATGTAATGATTAAAATTTTAAACGGTCCTTGCTTTTATTAGTTTGAAGATTGCCAATTACTTTCT